CCCCAAAACCCCAAAACCCCAAAACCCCAAAACCCCTTCAATCAATATATGAGTCAATATAAAAATCAAAATATTGAAGGCAAATTAATTAGTTTTATGGAAAATTCCCACGAGGTCTAGTGATAGGAATGCTGACTGGCGAGGGTTTCGAGTTGGTTTTAAAACGGAATTGTAGACTTAAACTACCGAACAATCCCCATTGGTCTAGGTGGCTAGGATATTCGGCTTTCACCCGGAAGGCCCGGGTTCGAGTCCCGGATGGGGAGATCTTTTTGCATTAGATCACATTTTGAATGATTTTTTCCTTTAATATTTTAGAGTTTAATTTTGACTTTCTTCAACTTTTAATCAAGGTTATAGGGCTACTCTATGATTTAATCTCTCGCATTATTCAATTCAGATTTAACATTTTAATATTTAAATGCTGTTGATATAATCTTATTATTATAAATAACTTTAAATTAACAATATTGGCGATAATCACAAAAACTCATTTTCATATTGATTGATACTGTTCAAGCTGCTATCAATTCTTACTTTTTCTATTTACTCATCAGCAGCACTTCTTACCATCTTTATCCTTCTTCTTTGCTTTTGTTGAAGTTCTGTTACTTTGGAGCTACACATTCATTTGCGGATCAAAATCAGCATACCCGTTTACTTTCAAAACTCCACGGGTATTCATTTTCTTTTTTGGTGCTTCTTCTTTTTTATTTGATTATGCACTAATTATCTCTATGCAAGGAATAAGATTCTTCATAAAATAATTGTAAATCCATACTTTTAGATAGATTAGAGAACAGCTCTATGACTCCGGCCCCTGTTTTTGCACTCGTACTAATATGTTCACTGCCTACACCCCTTGCATAACTAAAATACATTTTTATTAGAACTGCGATATTAATTTACCTTTCTGCCTCATCTAATGGTATAACTCTATTCTGCATATCACATTTATTTCCTGCAATTATAATCGGAGTCTCTTACGGTAGATATTTTCTAAGTTCTTTTATCCAGGTATTCACTTTTGTGAAAGAGTCCATGTCTGTGATGTCATAAACTATCAGTGCACCTACAATTACCATTAGAATCGAATTTCTTCATGAAGAATATCAACAAGAACATACCTTCCGCACCCCTATAATAAACCGGATTCAGTGCATGATATCGCTCTTATCCCGCAGTGTCCCAAATGGTCAGACGCATTTATTGTCCATTGGGAAGATTTACAGTATTTTCGAGACAACTTGCATCTAGCGTGCTTTTTTAGTTATCATCGAATTATCCCATACAAAAACGAACTGTTAAAGAGGTTTTCCCAACTCTAGCTAAAGTTAATATTATTAAGTTTATACAGATGCAGTATGAAAATAAATGCTTACCCTCTCCTAGGACGACTATCTTACTCGCCTAAGTCTTTTGCTCCATTTCAATTTATTATCAAAATTATAAAATCGAGATTATACTTATAAACTTGCAAGCAATTATCAAACTTTGAATCATGGGGTTTTGGGGTTTTGGGG